CACCCTTCTCCCTGTGCTCCCTCCTGATGAGCTGTTTTGGAAAAGTCTGAGTTGCCAGGTGCTATTTCCAAGCCTGGAAGTGAAACAATTGACTGAACACAGGAGCCCAGGGCTGTCCTGCAGGGCAGGCAGAGGTCACAGGCAGGGGACAGCTCACCTGTCACAGCAGCACCTGGTGCCTGTGTCCCAGCAGGATTCCTGCAGTCCTGTCTGCTTCCTGTAGTGCCCTCACTGCTGGCACATGGATGGATCTGGACACAACAGAGAGCTATTCTGGGGACCATTGACATTGTACCCTTAATGAGGCTGGAGCTGGTCACAGGCTTCTAAGCCAAGTCATGAAAATGCCAGTTCAGTGAGCAGCACATCAGGAATAGTCTGTGTCTGATTAAACCTTTTTTATTTTTTTAGAAAAATATCTTAGGTCAAAACGAGAGAGAGGAGCCCTGATTGCCTTTGCAATGACAGATGTGATTGCTCCACTGATGTGCTTCCAGCTATCTTAGCACATGCTATTGATCTCCTGGAACAGCTTCTATCAGTTATTAGGGACTGTCAGCAATCTCTGCATGAAATCTTAAAATGAATCTTGGCTGTAGGTGCAGGCTGTCAAACACAGAGCTCTGGGCTACAGGCTTAGAGCTCCAAGTACAAATGTTTTAAAATGTGATTTTGAATAAATGGAAATCAGCCTGGAGAAGAGAGGAGGAGACCTTAGAGCACCTTCCAGTCCCTACAGGGGCTCCAGGAGAGCTGGAGGGAGACTTTGGACAAAGGCAGGGAGTGTCAGGACAAGGGGCAATGGCTTCACACTGACAGAGGGCAGGGTTAGAAGGGATATTGGGAAGAAATTTTTCCGTGGGGGTGGGCAGGCCCTGGCACAGGTGCCCAGAGCAGCTGTGGCTGCCCCTGGATCCCTGGAAGTGTCCAAGGCCAGGTTGGACAGGGCTTGGAGCAACCTGGGACAGTGGAAGGTGTCCCTGCCATGGCAGGTGATTAGAACTAAAGGATCTTTAGGATCCTTTCTAGTCCCAAATATTCTATAGGTACATGATGAAACCAGGCCATCGGTTTTGGAAAAATATCCTTGCAGAAGGTGCCCTCTCCCAAATGCCTGCTTATCATTTAATCTTTTTTATGCAACAATCTTGCCTGGGTCTTTCCTATCCACAAACCATCCTGCTGCAGCACTGACTGAAGAGAGCAGCCACACTGTTCCCAAACCCCTCTTCCAGCTGAGAAATGCACCAGTCACGAGAAATGCACCAGTCATGAGGAATGCAGCCTCATCCCCACTGGGAAGATGTGCATCACACAGCTGGGAAGCTGTGCACAGCTCTGGCAGCTCTGGAGTTCAGAGCAATTATACAATTGTGCTCTGCACAGGGAACAAAACAGACATGAAATATGGACCATGCTCAGTTTCACCTTGCGTGGTAGCTCCTGTTGTATTTCAGTCTGGTGAATCCAACCCTTGCCTTTTGTTTTCTTTCTCTGCATCTCCCTGCTTCCATCTCCCTCTGTGCTCTCACGACTCTGCTGCAGTTATTACATTAACAAAATGCAGGGATGAGTCCTGGATAATAACATTTCATCTGGAGCCATGCCATGCTGGGAAGATGGTAATTTAGTTAATTGAATTCCATCTAAAAGGGAACTGAATCAATATTCCAGCACGTGGCTGGCAGTGAAGCATTGCCTGAGCACACGTGGCCACACCAATCCCAGGGCATGACAGGAGGAGCCTCAGTTCAAGTGTTGGTTTAGGTGACAGAAGCTGCACTCTGAATCCTGTCTGAACACGATTTACAGCCTGGTCTGGGTTTTTGGGAAAGCATTGTCCATCAGGCTGGCAGTGAAAGGGAAAAGTACTGGGGGAGCAGGGCAGGTAGAGCTGCACAGGGCAGGTAGAGCTGCACAGGGCAGTGTTTGCCAGGAGCTGCCAGCACCAGCCCCTCTGAGCAGGGATGCTCCCTGGGGAACAGAGCTTTGGAAGGCACATGGGCTCTTCTTGGGGATCCTGCACAGGGACTCAAAGGGTAAAACCTCCCTGGCCATATTGGTACCCACTGTCTCCCTCCTCTAGGAACAAATGTGTCCTTGAGGGCCAGAGTGATCCATCCTCATCAGTCCTTCTGGTCAAATTGCTCATCCTAGAGAAAAATGACCTCTCAGAGGAGCCAGTTTCCCTCATCCCCAGCACACACTTGCTGTCAGAGCATGAAGCACATTAGCCTTGAGCCCAGTTGACTTTAGAAGCTCTCTAGGGAAGGGACTTGGGGCAGAAAACACATTTTACATTATTTTTACAGCAAAATTAATTGCAACCACCCACCTGATCCTTCTGGACTGCACGTCCCAGTGGCAAGGTGAGACGTCACCTTGTAAGAGAGTCAGGATTTGTCTAAAACCCAGAGGTGGCAGTTTCTGGTGTCAGGACACCACAGGGGACAAGGTCTGGTGAGTCTCTCCCCTGTGGGAGCGTGGCCAGAGGGTGGCCAAGGGGAAGAGACAAGTGGGAAGGGGAACATATCTTCATGTCTGGAGCCTGGACCAATGCACACAACACAAACTGGCTGAGACCCCTCCCTGCTGGCTCCTCTGCGGCCAGGGAGCTGCAGCTGCTGCACAGAGTCTGTCTGGGGCGGGTGAGGAGCCAAGGCCAGAGCAGATGCTTGGCCAGAGGAAGGCCATTAGCATGAGGAGATGGCTGCAGGCCCTGGGCTTGGGCAGTGTCACTTTTCATCACACAGAGAAGATCTCTAATGAGTGCCCCAAGGGCTCAGCAGCTGTGGCACCACTTCGAGCCTCAGTGGACAAAGAGCTGGAGCTGCTGGTCCTGTGGAAGTTCCTTCAGGTTTTGCTCCTCTCAGGTGCTGAGCAATCCAGCTCAGCCTCTCCTGTCAGTCCTGTGCTGCACTGCCAACCCTTCCAGGAACCTTTCTGTTCTCCTGCCCACACTGCCCAGGAAAGCTGCTGTTTACAGGCCACATTCCTTGCACTTACCTGTGTCTCCATCTGGATTTGACCACTTTGAGAGGCTGTGGATGTGTCTGTAATCAGGTCACAGCCACAGAACTGCAGGTGCTGTTTATGAAGGGCATTCAGACCCTCCTGCAAGGATGAACTGGGGGCCTTGGGCATGCACACACAGAGCCAGCAGCTCTCAGGAGATCATTACACTGGTATTTAGTCAGATTCCCCTTTTTGGTGAAGACCCAGATCAGTATTTTTCTCTTCCCAGAAAGCTGGTCCTATCACCTCAGAGGACATGATTATTTTCAGACTGATCTGGGGCACTTTGCAGCCAACAGACCCAGCCAGAATTTACTGGCACAAATTCTCCTGGGGCTGCTTTGGCATGGCTGAGATGCCTTTTCCATGCTGGGAACAGGGGGCACTGGAGCTGCCTCCTCCAGGACCAAGAGGGCTGGAGGGGAGAAATTCTGTGTAAACTGTGGAGAAAGCAGTGAAGGCCTTGAAGAGGTGCTGGAGTGGGTGAGGAGCATCTTTAGCAGGGGGTGGCAGCAGGTGGGAGCTGTGAGAGCTGTGAGCTCTTACCTGAGCTCTGCAGGGGCTCCACAGGCTGTGAGGAAGCTGCTTCTGCTCAGGATTGAGCAGGGAGAGGCTGGTGGAGAGGCTGGCTGTCCTGGGGGATCCTGCAGCCCTGCCTTGGATGAGCCATTGCCTGAGCAGCAGGTGGGGAGGCCCTGGCACAGGCTGGCCAGAGAAGGGTGGGTGCCCCATCCCTTGGAAACACTCACAGCCAGGTTGGACAGGGCTGGGAACAACATGGAATCCCTGCTCATGGTGCAAGGGCTGGAATGAGATGGGCTTTAAGGCGCCTTCCAACCCAAATAATTCCAGGATTCTGTGATTCCCGGGATTCTTGATTTCCCTGTATCAAAACCACACCAACACCTGCAAGTCCCCTGCAGAGTTGTCCTCACATGGGAGCTCCTGTGCTCCACAGCCAGGTCCTGACCAGGGATGAGTCCTGTGGGCCCTGAGCTGCTCACCTCTTCCCAAAATAATCTTCCTTTGCCAGGCCTCCAAGGACAGGGCTGAGACACCTCCCCAGACCTCAGGGCACGCAGGGCAGCCTGGCCCTGGGAATTCTGCAGCTCATTTGTGCAGCTGGGCGAGGGAGGAGAGAGGAGAGGGAACATCCCCCAGCCCTCACTGAGGATGGGCTGAATCCAGCCTGGAAGAAGACAACCCGAGCAGCTCTTCCTTCCCCTGTGTTTGCAAAGCAGTGTCTGGGATGCAGGGGGGCAGTGCTGTGCCTTGGCAGTGAGTGAGCCTGTGCCAGCCTCATGTGTGCCCCTGACACCTCCCTCACGGCCTGGGCAGCGCCAGCGCCACACTGAGGCACCCGGGATAACCCTGTGGGTTATTTAGGGAGCCTGGCAGTGCGTGGATGACCCTGGGGGTGGATGTGCAGCTGCAGATCCTGGCGTGTCCCCCCAGCAGCGCTGCAGCGGGCTCAGCCGTGCCCGGGGCCGGGCTCACAGCCCCACACGCGGTTCCCTGCACTCTCTGAGTGACCATCCCGTCCCATCCCAGCCCATCCCGGAGCCGCCGTGCCGCCCTGGAGCCCGGCCTGTTCCCAGGGATCGTTACCAGGAGCTCCGCGTGTGTTTGGTTGCAAACAGAGCAGCAGCGGGAGCCAGGCGCTCACAGTGTTTGTGTGCCTGCGGTTGCTCAGGCAACTCGGGGCCAGCCAGGAGCTGCCAAACCCTCGGTGGCCGGGCCAGCCCCGGCACAGCCGAGCCCCCTCTGTCCGACCGGGCCGTGAACAAACCAGAGCGGAGCTCAGTGCGGACGGGGTTTATTGCAGAGCCGGGTTACAGCGCGGGCCTGCAGCATCCTTTGGTTTGGGCTTCAGGAAGGGAGCGGGAGCCAACGGGGTTCGGGTCGGAGACCTTTGCCGGTGGCCCGGCGACACCAAATGTCGCGGGTGCATCCCGGGCTGGGCACAAACGGCACGGCAGGCGCCGGGGGGCGGCAGGGCCGGGCCGGGCAGCCCCAGGGGAGGGCAGGAGGCGGCTGCGCTGGAGCTGCTGCGGGTTAAGGCAGGTCCCGGAGGGAGCACAGCGGCGGTGCCCGGTGGGACACGGAGGGCGCCCCGACGGCCGGGGCTGAGGTAGGGCAGGTGTGGGTGCCGGCGGGCAGGGGAGCCCTGAGGAGCGGCGCTGTTAGTGCGGTGTGGGCTGCGGTGACAGCACGGGGGACACGGAGGGGATCACAGCACGGGGGGGGCGGACGCAGCGCTGGGGCAGAGCTCTGGGCCCGGCGATTTCCCCGATCCCCCCAGCGCCGGGGGCCGATCCCGCCAGCCCGGGCCGGCCCCAGCCCCAGCGCAGCCTCCCGGGCCCACTCACGGGCACGTCCCGGGGCTGTGACCGAGCCCCCGGGCCGGGGGCACCACGGGCACCCGTCCCTACTTTTTGACTTTGGCGTCGTAGGTGCCCGCGTTCTTGTAGGCACTGACGTAGCCGCTGGTGTCCACGATGTTCTCCCGGCCGCTCTTGCCCTTGCCCTTGCCGCTCTCGTCGAAGCGCTCCTTGTGGGAGCCCGTGTACTTGGAGGTGTCCGTCAGCCTCTCCACGGCTCCCACTGTCTTGGCTTTCTGCAGTGGGACATGGGAGACAAGAAGATGCTCCATCCCCTTCCTACACAAGTCCCATCCCTTGCCCCACACAAGGTCCTGACCCCCACCAAAGACCCTGCTGTGCCCTATGAGACCCTCAGGTCCCCCCTCACCCAGGGCCATGGGGTCTCCTGGAAAGCATCTGCTCAGTGGGCAGAGCTCCATCCTCCCCTCCTGCTGACCACTCCTGCTCCACAGCCCAGGGGCTCCTCACTCACCGTGACGCCCACATTGATGGGCTCCTTCCCTGCCACCAGCTGGCAGATGGCTTCATAGGCCTCCTCTTTGCTCTTGTCCTTAAACCTCTTGGGGGCCAGCTCCTCCAGCGCCTTCTTGAACTCCTCGTAGTTGATGACACGGGCTGTCTTCCCTCTGCAGGTGCAAAACTCAGGCTGCCACCAGCACGTCTTTGGGTTATGCCTCCAAATGGGATGAGCTGCATCAGAGGGACCCTGACTTTGTCCTACCCTCACCCACTTCTGAAATTCAGCTACAGCTGAATGGGCTGGGCTGGGCACAGCTGGTGCTGAGCTCCAGGAGCTTTCCAGCCACATGCTGCTGGAATCCCTGTTACCAAAAACCAGGGTGCATGGAAGTGTTCTAGGACTAGGTGCTGGTGTCAGGAGAAAAGTGCATCCATCCACATTGCTCCCAGCCTGCCTGGGTTGCCCACCCCACTCTCTCCCCTGGCAGGGATCAATCCTCCAGTCAAATTTGGAAGGACATGCACAGAGCATCTCTCCCCTGAGCTTCTGGTCCTCATCTCTGGGCCAGCACAGCAACCTGCTCTCCTGCACCCCAAAAACCTCCCAGTGCTCAGCTCCATGTTTCCCAACCCAGGAATATGGGAATTCCTGGAGAGAGCACAAGGAGGAAGCAGGTTCTCCACCTGTTTCCACACCCTAGTGTGGAGCATGAAGCATCATTGTGTCTCCAGGGACCCTAAAAGCAGTTCCAGGAGCCTTTCAGCCCTTCAAGCTGCCCCTGTGACTGCCATGGACCAGGATCCTCCCCAAGCTTGGGCGTTGGCTGGCCAGGCTGAGGAAGGGCCACATCACATGGGACAACCCTGAGCACCTTCCTCTACTCTCTGTGGCACCTCCTGAGAGATGGGAACCCGGCAGAGCCAACCAGGCCCACCCCAGTTCTTGGAGTGGGAGCAGGGGCACAATCTCTGCACCAAATCTGAGCCTCCCACCCCCAAATGTGGGTTGATTCATCATTAGGTCTTGCAGAGGCAGCCACACCTCCCCCCTGGAGGTGGGACACTGCAGGACAGCTCCCACAGCTCTGTGACAAGTGGAATGGACAGCCTGGGCACACAGCAGGGGGAGCAGAGCTCTGTGGGGACCCCACGCCCAGACACCCACACCCTGCCCGTGCTGCAGAGGCATCCAAGTCACTTACTTCACCTTGGAGAAGACAATGTCCACGTCGGTGCTGGTGACGCTTTTGCCGTCGGTGACTTTGCAGTCCTTGCACAGCTTGGCCCAGTTCTTGCCGTTCATCTCCTGCCCCGTGGCCTTGGTGTCGCCGTAGATGGCGAATTTGCGGAAGCTCTCCTCCAGGGACGCCACCTCAGCGTTCCCGGCCATGGGGCTGCACAACGGGCCCGGCACACCCAGGCTCCTGCGGGCGGCACGGCAGAGCTCGGCTGGCTGCTCGAGGCCCTCGAGGAGGAGGAGGATGAAGGCTGGCGAGCGTGGAGGCTCCTCAGCAGGATCCGGGTGTTGGCAGCACCTGCGGGCGTGGGGTGAGGGCTGGCAGCAGGCTCGGATGAGCCCCGAGGCCGAAAGCCAAGAACGCGCCTTGGGGAATGGAGGCTGCTGGTGGAGAGCAGTCAGCAGCGAGGCTGCCGGCTCCGGGGCTGGCGGGCAGTGAGAGCATCAGCCTCAGCTCCGGAGTGAGAGCATCAGCCTGTCCCTCGGGAGCCCTCTCCGGGAATGACGCAATGCGTCCGCCTTCCTCCCGCTCGCTCGCACATCGGGAGAAGCGGCCCCGCCGCTGCCTCCAGCCCCACCTCTCCCCTGCCTCCATCCCCTGTGCGGAGCTGCAGCACCCCGGCCGTGACTGCCCCGGGGCTGGGCCAAGCGTGATGCCCTGCAGGGAGACAAGCAGCCAACAAGTCTCTGTTCCCGTGGTGGCACTGTTGCTGCTGCTGTCCCATCCCCGCTCGCCATCGCCTCGCCAGCCTCGCCCCGGCGGCTCAGCATCCCTCACCCACAGCATCTCGGCCGGGACTGGGCACGGCCATATCTGGGGAGCTCCAGCACGCAGGGGGTTCTCCGACACCCCGAGGGGCAGAGCGGGTGCCTCGCCCGGTGGGTGCCTGGGCAAGAGAGGCTGGCGTGGGGCTCCAGATCCTCGGCGAGGACCGGGGAGTGGTCCCTGAGACCGTCGCTAGGGAGGATGGGCGTTGCCTGGCGACCGTCGCTAAGGAGGCGCGGCGGGGCGGGGATGCCGCCGGTCCCCTCCCGGCCTGGTCCCCCCGCGGGCTCCGCAGCCCCGGCCCCGCACGGCCCCGCAGCGGCACCCGGGGCTCTCCTGCCCGCCTGGGAGGTCCCTGCGGGTGCCGGGGCAGCGGCGACCCCCGCCCGCCCTCCCCCCGGGTTTCCCCGCTCCCTCCCTCCCCGTGCAGCGGCCCCGGGCCGGGCACCGCAGGGGTGCGGGGGTCCCGGGGTCCCGGTCGCTCGGTCTCACCTCCCGGTCACCGCTCCCCTCCCGGCGCCGCGCTCTGAGGCGGGCGGGGGCGGCCCCGCCGCCTGTTTAAGGCGCCGCCATGGGGACGGGAGGGGCCGGGCACGGCGGGAGCGCCCTCGGGGCGGGGACAGGAGCCCGGGCCGCGCACCCGGACCAGCTCTGGACCCTCCACGAGCCCATGAAGCCTCTCTGCTTCCCCCTGAGACCCGACCGGCACCTGACCCGGCTTTCCTGCACCCCACAAGGTCTCTCCATCACCCTACAAAGCTCCAGCGTTGTCCCACAAGGTCCTTTAGCACCCCCCGGGGCCCCACCATAAACCCACGAGGTCTGTCCCCCATCCCCTCAGCACAGGCTCCCCCTGGCACCCCGGCTGTGCTTTACCCTGCAGCCCTTTCCCCTGCCCCACACAATCACCATGTCCCCCGTAGAGGAACGCTGCCCGGGCTGAGCAGACAATGCCAGCCCCTCTGGTGTGACCGTGGTGAGCACCTGTGACCCGGTGGGACACCCCTGGGGCAGCCCCATGCCAGCACTGCCCACCCTGGCAGCCTGGAGCAGACCGCAGCAGGGCTCCCAGTGGGTGCTGAGAGCTGAGGCAGTACCCAAATATTGTGGTTGCCATGGAGCCCCAGCACAAGCCACATCTCTTACTCACTGCCCCACCTCAGCTGTTTGCCCAGAGCCTGCTTTGATCCCCGTGCCCTCCTGGCATCGCTCAGGGGTGCAGGACATTGTGGGTGATCAGCTGCAGCACCAGCAGGAGCTGTGCAAGCCAGGACACACAGTGTGAGATTTGCTGCTGCCTTGGGGGTCCTGAGGACAAATCAGCAGCTTTGGGGACTGGGAAGTGCCTCAAACAGTCTTTGGCACCCTGTGCTCTGTCTGCCCCGCTCCCTGTGCAGAGAAGCTGCAGGTTAAGGTACCCCCATGGCTGAGCTGCCCCAGGGCATCAGTTCTGCTTGTGCACCCAGAGCATTTTGCTGTGGGGCACAGCCCCAGTGACAACCTCCCCCGCTTGGCTGAGGGGTACCTGTTCTCTCCTGGGACACTGCTGCCTGTTCTTGATTGGACAAAGCCATGAGCAGCCCACTCACACTGATTCTCTCTTGGATTGGGGTCTGGAGACCTCCAGAGGTAACCAGCAGCCAGCTCTGGGAGTCTGGGATCACCAACTTTACCTCTCACTTCAGGGGTGAGTGCCAGGGCTGGTGCCAGAGGCCCCAGGTGTGTCACAGCCCCTGGCCCCTTTGGGTGGGCCCAGCTGGTCACACACACAAAGGACCCCACTTTATTATTCCCTCAACCAACCCTGTGACCCCTCAAGAGCTGCTCTTTCCCAGCCCAGCCAGAGTGGCAAGGACATCCTGGAGGGGACAGTCCAGAGAGGGAAGGGCAAGTGTGGAGGCTCACCTGATGCCAGAGCCAGGCAGATCCCTCCAAGTGTTTTTCCTCTCTCTGGATTGTCCTGGTAGAGCTCAGACATGGCCAGAGAGCCTGGGGGCTGCATGGAGCAGGCGGCACCAGGAGGACTCTCCTGGTCACACATTCTTCCTGCTCCTCATACAATGTGAAAGCAGGTTCCAAAGTGCAGAGGTCAGAGCTGACAGTGCCTGGCTGTGAAGTGGGAATTTTAACCAGCCTTTCTGCAGGCCAGCAAGGACCCAGGGGTGTGATCCCACCTGCCGGAGGTGGGGAGGAGCTGTACTCTCTGTTTTAAGGGCAAGGGAATAACTGCTGCCACACAGAGGAGGGTGGTTAGGTCCTGATGAAGGTACAGCCTCATTCTTAGCTTGCCCTGCAGCTCCCCACCAAAGCAGGTGTCTGGCTCTGCTTCCAGCTGACAGCTCCAGGTAACATCAGGTGGAGCACCCAGCAAGGCTTGGCAGCTGTGGGCAGCGTGGGAGCCTGGATGTTCCGAGCCAGCAGCAGGTGGAAAAGGAGCAGGACATGTGGGCAGCTCCTGTGTAGGAGCTTCAGCTGCTGCTGGGGCTGCAGAGCCAAGGAGCCGAGCAATGGCACACAGGAAGGGGAGAGCCGGCTAAGGAAGGGGGCGCTGAGCCGCGGCTGCTGAGCTGCCCACGGGCTCGGGTTGAGCAGGTCGGATTTCGGTTCCTGAGGGCTGGGGTTTGTTGTGCGTTTGCTGTCACCATGACAGCCCTGTTGGGATGGAGCGTGGTCCTTGGCCGGCTCTCACTGTTCCTCACGCAGCCCGGAAAAGGAAGCCCGGGAGGAGGCCGTGACTTGGTCCGCAGCCCGCGGCACATCACAGGAGCTGTGCACGGAGGTGCACAGCTCCTGTGATGTGATGGAGGAGCAGGCACACGGCTCAGGGCTCAGCTCGCCGGGGCCTTTCCCTTCTACCCAAGGTCAGGACGTTCCCAGGCTGTGTCCTGCCCCAGGGACACAAGGAGCCGAATTCTGCAGCGCTCACCCCGGACACAGCGGGGCTCACACACAGCTGCAGCCCCGAGGTGCGGGCTCGGCCGCTTCCTGCTGAGCCTGCGTCCCTGTCCCCACCTCACACAGAGCTCGGGGTGCTGTGACTGCTCCGGGGGCAGCCCAGAGCTTGCTCGAGGGCACAAGCACAACCTCCGAGCTCACCCCCATCCTCTGCCCCTCGCTTCCCCCAGGCTGGGCACCGCAGCCCCCCGGGACTCATCCCGTTCCAGGAATGAGCTCTGGCTCGGCCGTGTCTGGGGTGGGATGAGGTTATGCGGGAGCGCCGCTTCTCCAGCGCGAGTTGCTACAAAACAGAGGGAAGTGTTTCGGAGGTTGTGCAATATGTACACGGTCACCCCAGCAACAGCGTGTCCACAAGGCATTAGCGGGGCTTAGCTGCGGCTGCTGAGCGCGGGGGGGACCGGGCCGGGCCGTGCCGTGCCGGGTGTGCCACCGAGCACCAGCTGCGGGCGTGCCATGCACGGCTCTGGGCACGGGAGAGGGGGCAAAGCTCCATCCCCCGGCAGGAATTTCCTTTTGCCCACCCTGCAGCTCAAGGCAGCTCATTGAGATGCTCTCAGGACGTGTAGAAAGCAGTGCAGGAACAGAGTCCTACAAAATCATTTCCCAAAGGAAGGGCCCCTTGACTTCAAAGAGGAAACAAAGCAACTTGAGCCCGGCTCAAAGATTAAAGGAACCACGACGTGCATCCCGTGCCAAGGTGGAGGCTTGGCGCAGGCACTGCGGGGCCTGGCACAGCTGCCAGACAGCAGCCAGGGACCATGACATGATTTCAGAGGATTATGGAATGCTGTCATCCTGCAAATCATTGCTTCTTCCTAATAGAAAGCCACAGTGTCTTGTAGTGGAAACAGCTGGTCCAGGGCACTGCCTCCAGCTGGCGGGAGAGTTCACACCCTGGCAAAAACCTTTTATTTATTTATGCTGGAGAAAGTGCTTGAGGATGTCACACCTCAATTTGTCTGCAGTGATGGGGAGCTGAAGCATCAGGACTTCTGCTGTCAGGACCTTAACCCAGCTTTCTTATGGCCTTGGGCTGCAGCCTGTGGTCATTGCAACCCTCTGGTGCTGAGCCCAGGACTGCTCTGCCCATGCTGGACTCTGCAGCAGAACCCCAATGTGACCTGTTCCTTCTGCTTGCTGCCACAGGTCTGCTATGGACATTCCTCATGCAGAGCAGCAGAAATGCCATTGGCACTTGAACCTGCAGGGTATCAACATTAAAGGCCCAAGAGGACAAAAGCAAGGTTGGGAAGGAGAGTCCAGGAGCCAGAACTGTCTCAGCCTCACCATTTTCACTCTTGGGTGCTCACTGTGCATCTTCAACAGCACTCTTTGGATATGGCTGTGGCAAAAACATAAACCCCAGGCAGTTTCAATCACCACTTGGCACACATAATCCTCCTGCTGCCCTTGAGGTTTGGGAGATCAGAGTCCAACCCTGGCAGTGCTGGGAGCCCATCCTGCTGGAGCCTGGCTCTTGGCTCAGGACCCAGCTGCTCCAAGGCACAGCCTTGCATGTTTGGCAGTCTTGAGTTATTCAGCAGAGTGGAGCAAATGCTCCAGCTGAAGGCAACAGAAGGATGTGCCTGCACATCTGATAGCCCAGGAAACCCAGCTCCCCTCAGCCCAAAGAGCACAGCAGCCTTTCTGCAGCACAAGGCAGAGCTGGCTGGGCTCCCTTTCTCTGGTGCTCCAGCACAAAGACCAGGCTGGGGTACACAGCTCAGGGAGAAAATGGTCTGGTCCCTACCCCTCAGGGAAGACTCCCATCTAACACCCAAAAGGCCCTGTGGAGAAGGGACTGCTGTCACCCCCACATCAATTACAGTGCTGAGCCCTTTTGGGACTGCAGAGGCTCAGGGAGAAGTGAACCCAAACAGCCTGGGGATCATAAACAGGGCAGAGCCAGCAACTGCTGCAAAAGAAAGGAGGAAACTATTTAGCAAAGAATATAGAAAATTTTATTGTGGCCAGAGCTACCAAAGAGCTCCATACATGATTTTGGGACAGATTCTGCATGGGCAGAGTAAGAAAACACACCAGGTCTGCTCAGAGGCACCTGCTGAAGAGGAATTACCAATGCTTTCTGGTGGAGGGGCAGCTGGCCTTGGAAAACCATGAGCCCAGCATTGCTGCAGGACACAGTTTCCTTGGATGACAGCAGACATGAGGAGAAACAACAGGAAGGGCTTTGTCTAAGTGGAGCCGTAGGTGAGCAATGCCCTGGTCTCTCTCACCCAGTGCCATGTCTGCTGGTCCACACTCACCTGCTTTCCCAGGGGTCACACTGCCAGAGGGCACCACTGGCCACAGCAGGCAGGGAAGCTGCAAGGAGTGTGACCACAGGCCAGCCCCTCCTGCAAACTGAGACAAAATGACTTCAACAACTACATGAGACTTGACTTTTTCTGATGAACAGATGGGGTAAATTGATGAAGAGTCAAAGCTCCTCATCCCACTTCTTCCAGGAGACAAAAATCACACAAGAGAAGAGTGGTAAGGCAGCCCTTTAAAACACTCCCAGGTCTTTCTCTCAGGCTAGACTCTCCCATCAAGGCTGTGAGTCCAGCCTGCCTGTCCCGTGTTGACTGTGCCCAAAGAGCCTTTGGCCCCAGATCCCTGTCCTGCTCAATTCCAAGGAATGCTTGCAGACTGAGGGAGAACAGCTTACCTTGGCTCTCACAGCACCATGCTTTGTCCTGTCCTTCCTTAACCTGCACCCATCATAGGCTGCAGAAAGGTCAGTTGTGCCTTCCATGCATCAAAACATTTTGAGGGGTGATGAAGACTCCCCTGGCTTCCTTTTCTTTGCTGGTGCACCTGTCTGCTCACAGCACCAGCAGTGTGCTGTGCTGGGATGTGCCTGGAAATGTGCATCCAGCCATGCCAGTGCTGCTGCTCAGGGCTGTGCCAAATCCTGTCAGACATGACTGCTGAGATCAGCTGGCTGCTAGGCAGACTGGACTTGCTGAAGGCCCAGCCTCAGCACTCAGCCAGGAACGTGGAACAGGGCATGCTGCCTGGGGAAGCCACGAGGGCAAGGAGAGCAGAGGTGCTGTAGGATGGCAGCCCAGACAGCTCTCTGCAGCTCACCCCCAGCACAGGCTGCTGTGGCTCCAGGCACTGGCCATGTGCCCCACTGTCTGCTGTGGGACCTTTTTGCATCACACACACACCAGGCTTGGCTGTGGGCTAATACAGATCTGGCAGCCCAGGAATTGCAAAGGTTTCAGGGCCTTCTGTATCCCAAAACTTCTGATGAGAACACTGCAGCGTGGGGCCCCCCAGACTGCTGGGAAGGGGGAGCAGGTGAAGCTATGCTGCCTTCCAGAGAAGATGCTGGTGGTGGGTTTGGCTTGAGGGTGCACAGTGGAAAGCGGTATAAGGGATGGGGCAATCCTGAGGTTACTCCCTGGCCACCTGCTGAAGCCCCTGAGCATGATCCAATGACAGGGAGTAGGCAGATGGAAATACAGCTTTCAGGGAGCAGGGAATGCAGAGGTGCAGCCTTGTTCTTCCCCTTACACTCTGCTGGGAACTTACTGCAGTACCAGTATGCAGAGGGCCAAGAGGGGTTGGCCCTTCCCAGGCAAAGTTGAGCTCTCATGAGCAACAAATCTACCTCAGGTTTGCCACCTTGCTGCCTCCTGCCTTTGGCTGAGCATGAGAAATGTCCCACTGCAGCCTGACAGCACGTGCACAGTGAGGGTGAGTCCTGCAGGGCTCCACCCAGCACTAATGCTGCTCCCAAAGGCCATGGCTTTGGAAGGATGGTCCCTAGGCCGCCGTGGTGCTTGTCCTTATGTCCTTTGAGCACGGATCCTGTGTGCCCACATGCTGCTTGCTGGTGCATTTTCTGTGGTCAGGCTCTGACGTGCTCTCACTGGGCTGGGGCTGAGAGACAAGAGGTTCTCCACTGCTCTTACTTACAAACACTGCAGGAATCTTAGAAAAAAGCTCCAGGTCTCGTTCCACGTGTCTGTCCTGCTGGCAGCTTCTCCTTTTGACCTTGTGCTCAGAATACAGATTCTTCTTCCTGACTCCTCTGGGATTGTCTGTGGACAAGGGAGAATGTTGAGAGTTGCCTGAGTTATTCTTAGGAGGCCCTTGAAGGACTGGGCTCCCAAGGCAAATCTGAGCCACAGGAATCTCATCCATGGACTCAGCAGACTGTGAGTGATAGTGAGCTGGGGGTGCTGCTGCCTGGATGAGGCCCATGCTGCTGGGGGACACAGCAGCTCTCAGAGGAAAAGCTGGCACTAAGAGCTGAAGCCTGTGGGAAGGTGAGGTGGCAGCAGCCATGGCTGGGAGCTCTGCAGATGGAAATAAAGGGAGAAGAAACCTTAAGGAGAGAGAGATCCCTCAGCCCCACAAAGACATCAACAAGCCCAGGAACTCTGCTCTGGCTGATGCACTAGTGTTAAAGCAAATCATACATGTATTTATGCAAGATTCAGCAGAGGAGCTGACTGGTGCACTCTCACCTGATGGGGGATCTGGGAAGGAGAGCTGAGGTGTAGCATGTGCTTTAGATCCACTGTCCATTGCAGAGGAAGAAACTTTCTGCACTTTCTTTCTTCTTTTCTTCTGCTGCTGTGAAAGCAAGTAGCCCAAGAGAAGGGAAGTCACTCACCAGCCCAAAGTAATGAGATGTATTTTTTGTTACCTCTTTTTAATTCTTCCTACTTTGAATAACAAGCACTAGGCATAACCAAAGTCCAAGAATATTTTACCAATAAAGACTGAGATACAACAAAGCAGTAACAGAGAACAGGGATTTAATAACACACTCCCACATTATCTGCATACAGTGACTCTCTCTGTGTAGGTACCTTGAAGCTGTTGTCTCATACAGCTGGGGGTTGTATGAGACACTGGCCACTTGCATTTGTAAAGCCAAACTAGAAGAGGGAACCAAAACTCACAGGGCACAGGATGTCCCAAGAAAGGGACAGTCCTTGTCCCAAATACAGTATAGATGAAAATGAATTTTTCTTACCATCTAGATGGCAAGACTGATTAATAAGCTTGGAGGAAAGAGGAAAAGCAGCACCACTTGCCATCTAAGCAAGAGGAGAGAGCATCTGGATGCAGATACCTGAATATCAGGAGCCCAGTCTGAGACTTTGGAGAGCTGTTCCATACACTCCAGCTCCACATCCACACACACCATCTTCCCCTGGGAAACTGCTTTATTTGAACATTTAAACTGTTGGATTTTGCTCCACAGAAACACACAGAGCTTCTTACATCAACAAAGCAGCACAGTCAGAGTCACTGAGCTGCACTGGGGCAGCAAGGCACTGGATTACAGCTGTGTTACAGCTGTGAGCTTATGAGGGGACTGGAGGACAGCTCTGATCATGCCTGTGAGCAGGGACAGGAGAAGATCACCTGGATTTGGTGACTGCAGGGCACAGCCACACTCACTGAGGGAAGGCAGAGCCTGTGTGAGCAGGGCAAGCACAACCTGCTCTAGAGTGAGCATGCCTGAGCACCTGGGTGGGTTGTGAGCAGCAGGTTTGGTGTGTGCCAAATCCTCCTTACCTGAGAAGGGGCCACAGAGTGAAGAGATGGGGACTCAGGGGATGAGCTCTGCTTGGGGTCACCTTCTTGGTTATGGACATAGAGCTTTGGAAAGCTAAAAACACAGCAGACACACAAGGTGATTCCCTAAGGCAGGACTTAAGTCTGATGCCCTCTTTGCCTGCACACACAGATCAGGCTGATCACAGCCTCCCCTGCCTTACACAGCATTCCCAGCAAAACTGCAGGGGAACTTCTGCATAATTGTGCAAAATAAGAAGGAAATCCCCAGGGACACAAGTTAACAGGAAAAGACTAATTAAGAGTCAAGGATTCTGTTTTCCCATGAGTGCTTGCCTGTGTTATAAATTTGTAACTGTTGTGATGCATTTCTTCACAACCTGAAGTCATGTAATTATAATGAGCTCAATAGAGGAGTTACAGGAGAAATCAGCCAGCCTTAAAGTAATTTTAATATAAAACAACTAATAGAAAGCAGTTTGCTATAAAATATTTAATATGAAACAGCCTAAATAGAATATTCTAGGACAGATATTTTCCCAGGAGAGGGAAGGAAAGTATTCCTGAAGGTATCTACCCTCCTGAAACTCAAAGATTTCACCATGCCTTGCTCAAAACACTGGTGCTCCCTATCTTTCTAAGTACTTTTGTCTCAGGGCCCATCAGTGACCTTGACAGCAATTTCCCATTCACCACACATGGAGAATCTTTTCCTTGTCTTTTCTCACCTTTTTCCTGCAGTTGCTGTTGAGAATTCTTCTACTCGAATTCCAGGGTCTGTATAGCCAGGATTACCTGACAATAACTCTGCTTCCTGGAAAAAACAAAACAAACAACATCTTCAGAATAATACAGACACAGAGGGGAGAAGAGGGATTTTTATTATAGATGTACTCTTTCTCCTTATGCCAGATATCTTTTGTCCTTATTGGTAGCACAGCAGGAAACTGCAGCTTAAGAAGATTGAAAACCTAAGATTGGCACAATTAGAAGTCTTTGATTAATTTGTTTAGTCCAGTCAGTATTTCATATGACTCAAAACCAAATCACACTTACAGAGATCAGCTTAGTCATTTCTTGGGAGCACATTCAAAATACCACTTAAAGCTTCCATTAGTTACACAGTCCAATCTGAGGAGCTCTGCAGTGAATGCAAAAAATGTCCTTTAAATGCAAAATGGAGGTGAGGAGAATGGAAGCATTAAATATACAGGAAAAACATAAAGTGTTTTCTATTTCTTGTGTGACCCTGCGTGGTTAAGACCTGCTGATTTTTAAAAATGAGTGTGATGTATTGTTTATTTGCCTCAGGTATGGATGAGCTCAGACTAATGACAGTTGAACTTGAAAACTGCATATTTTCAGAAACATTAAAAGAATAAGTCTCCTAAATCCAAGTGCTGCATTACAGGAAAGGACCCCAGTTCTCCCTCAAAAGCACCCAGTTAGGATGGTCAGAGTACCAAGGGATGAAGAGTATGAAGCCCTGTTATCAAAAAAAAGATAAACCATGCTCAGAAGGACCTGGTCACCACGAATCAGCTGCTTTTAAACTTAAATAATCATTAAGATAACTTCTTCATAAGTGTTTCACTGTGCAGTGACTATAAAGATATTTTAAAGTAACTTTTAGGTTAAGATAGAAGGATTTAAACTGTGATAGGCATTAGCTTCAAAAATAGCTAAAAGAAGCTCATGAAGATCTTTTTTTCTGAAGAGCCTCATCAGCAAATTTGAGAAAATGAAGTCAAAGTTGGACACGGCACAAATGAGCTCCTGAGAGATCCAGGGCCTCTGCACTTGAACAAATTCATAAACAATCAACAAAAGAGCAGAGCAGTGAGAAGCCTGGTGATGACACTCCCTGATGTCAGGCATTAAAAATGAAAGCCAGCCGCAAAGAGCTGCGGAAGATCTTTGCAATATTGAATTACAGGGTGCTAAAATGGCACAAAAAATCAATATTGCTAGAGGTAAAGATGGACAGTGAAGCATGTGGGAAAAGCAGTTTAAACTTTAAATACAAAGCAACAGTTTCTGAACTGGAAAAGAACCCATGGAGCTGCACATTCAGTGACAGCCAAAAAATCATTTCAGATGTTAGGAATAAAAAGGCAAATAAAAAGAGAAAAAAAAAATCAGCTATTTTGTAGGTGGTAACATAAAATCTAAAGGGAATTGGTTTAGAAATCAAAACTATGCCTTTCTGATTTAAAAATTTATCCAAATGCAAGATTAATAATCTGCAGAAATTTACTACATGTATTTCAATTGGAACTTGTAACTCAAGTCACATCATCACTCATCACCAACAAAGTGTGCACAATGTCTCCTCAAGCTCCTTGGGACATTTACAATCAGATTTACATTCAGGCCTCATGCACCTGAGTCACAAGGGAAGGAGACCAGACACAGTCTTGTGTCACTGTGAGTGTAGAGGCAGGACATGCAGGTCTTTTCAGAGGGAAGCAGCTCATGGCTGAAATAAGCTGCAGCAGGAGACATCCCCCTGCACAGAACAACTGAAAACAATCAGGACTCAATGTCCACAGCACATAAACAGGACTGCAGGACTGGCATTTCAAGGGAGCTTAATAAATGATTCATCTTGAGAATAACATGGACAATTTCTTTCCAAGCAGGGAATGAAAGAGCCTTTTTAAATCCATTTTGTTCATTTCAGCCTTCTATAAATAATGTAGACCCAAACCAGTCACATAAATGAAAGTAAAGCATTAGAGTTGACTATGAAAACAAATGAGACTCAATCAGTAGAAAATACAATGTTCCCTCAGAGTGTGACACAGCCACAGCACAGATCCCAAGCCTCCCTCTGCTCCCAGGCATCTAGCAGGAGAATCAGAATCCTTCCTCTGCAGCATCAAGACAAGGCAGCCTTTGCAGCTGGGCTGTCAGGATTCAGCTGCTGCTCCTGCTGGAAGCAGACTGCTGGGCTGACACACTGCCCAAGTTCTGCCCCTGTGCAAATCCTGGCCACGCTCACCCACTGCCACCTGTGACCACCCCAAGGTCCATGGTTTACAATCCCAGGATGGATTCAGCTCCCACTGCAGCTGCCCTTATCAACCACTTCAGGGTCAGGAGTGCCCTGAAGTGCTGTCTGCCTGGAGGGAAGCAGAACTGAACAGGAAAAAAGAGTTCTTGTCCCAAGGAAGTTGAGTCTGTTGCAAGTGTTGAGGCTGAGAGTGAAGACTAAGTTTATCTTAGATCAACATTGGAAGAAAGCAACAATTCTGAAAGTGTAAGGGAAGCTGAGTTTAAAATCTGTGTTTAGTATTTAAAATCAAACCCCACCAACCTGAATCAGTTTCCAAAGCAAGTTCAAAGCTTTAGGAATATGAGAAGAATTACATCCCAGCTGGCCTCATATGAAAGCCAGCTCCCTGGCATGAAGGCAATTATGCATTAAAGCACAGGGTTTGGTTTAGTTTATATTTCTTTAGACTGCAAATGACTACAGAAAAAATGGTTACTTGCACATCCTGCTTTAGGTATGGTAATAGAAGCAAAGGCTCAACGTGTCCAACTGTTCTGCATTTTTTGTGACATCTGAACCACTTAAATGTGCAAAATTAGGGCTCTTATTTTGTAGATCCTACAAGTACATAAGAATCCTTTACCCTGAACAAGAATCCTTTAACTTGAACATAGCTGAAGACTTAACCACAGACCAACATGGAGAACTGAAGCCAAAACCAACACCCAAGCCTGAATAAGGCTCAAAAACAAGCATTAAAGGGGAAATGCATGTTTCTTCTTAGTCCCTAAAATGAATGAGCAGTTCAGACAAAAGTGGGAAGAGGATGATTTCCATTTTATGCTTACAACATGTTGGATCAATTACAAAGGGTTGCAGTGTTCAAGCTAAAGAAGGCTGTATTCAACACAGCTTACAAAAGGCAAGTCACTTGGTGTCCTCCTACTCCAATCTGTTTGTTTGTGTTTATCTCTGGTTGCTATGTAAGAAACAAGGAAAATCTAGTGGGTTAACATTTTTCTTAACAATGTTACTGGGCATCATCCAGTCTTTCTTGTTCCCCAAGGTCCTAACTGCAGTCCTGAAACATCAAACTCCTTTTCACCCTGCTCTTTCCATGCTTGCTGCTTCAAATTAACCATATTCACACATATCTAGATAACAACCAGTGCAGACAGGAGAACAACACAGGACAGGAGAATGCCAACATCCCAAAAGGGCACACACACATAAAGTCCACCCCTGTTTAAATACATTTTCAGTATCAACTAAAATTGAATAACTACATTATTAGAGCTAATGCTTTATTATTGTTTTAATCTTCATAGTAAGCAAAGCTCTGTGAAACAAAGTGCCAAATATTTTTGTTGGTATGGAAACCTCTGTTTAAACTGAAAGTTCAACTTTTCCAAAACAGTAAAAAATATATATGAAAAGCTAGGGACTTCATATTATAGAAAAGTGAATGAGCTCACTTTCCCCTTTGCTTTGATAGGGAAGAACTATGGATGAATCCAGAGACATCCCAGTATCTCTACAGAGAATACTTGGATGAAGCTTGTATTTAATTAATTTCTTATTTCATATAAAACTGTTTGTATAGTAGCTAACTTACTTGCATAAAATGACAAATTATACATGACTAAGAATCACAGAATAATTTAGATTAGGAAGAATTTTTGGAAATTTCTGTTTAAGCCCCTGCTGAAGTCAGTAAAGAATATGTTCAGTCAAAATTTGAGTTAATCCAATAATTTATCAAAATAAATTACACTGAACCTCTCAATTCAGAGCCTGATACACTTGCCTCAGCAGAGCCTTAACAGCATTTAAGAGCTTGTAGAACTCTTTTTACAGAGATATAGATCAACATCATGCTAATAACAAGGACCCTTATCATTATACAGACTCATTTCAAAGAAAAGCAGATATATGGGTAATTTCTGAAAAACTGGTGTCCTTTTCATTTTTAAGATGGTTAAATTACTGCTGCTCAGTGATTAGCCCCAGTTTCCCCAGCCCTAGAGCCTGTCTCATTCGAAGCCATGACACCAGGCCCCAAGATGTGCAGTGCCACCCAAACAGATGGTCCTGTCCTTTTCAGGGAAAGGATTCTTCCCTCTCTTCAGTCACTTTCCTTTGTGCTGAGCCAGGCATTTATGTGACTGCTTGGTGAACCAAATGGGAGGGAGCTAGGCCAGCTCAACTGTTTTTTTAATAAAGTTTATTGTTACTCAGATGAGTTCCCCCACCCTGTCCTAATGAACAGCTGTGCTGGCAGAAGAGAGGAGATAGTGCAGGGCCCAAAACAAGTGGTGGAGGAAGAGAGTGGGTGGGATTGATTCCTTTGAAAGCACTGCTTGCTTATACCTAAAGTGTTCATGGAATTACAGGCCTTGCACTCTTTCACATCCTACTCAACTCCATCAAAGTACCAAGTCTTATCTCTGGCAGCTGCCTTTAAAATATGGAGCACAAGAAAGTGAAGCAAAGTTTACACAGCAAACAAACAAGGCTGGTTTTGGGAAATGGGCTGAAAAGTAGGATGAGTACCTGACTGGGTCTCACTTGGGAGGAACAGGACTCCTGTTTCTTGTCCACCTTGTCTGGCTGCTGCTGGGGACGCTGCTGCAGGATGTACTCATACGTAGTCAGCTTGTGCCACACTGAAAGGGAAGAAAGAGACCTGTCAGCACAGGAAAGGCCCCTCCCTGACTGCACTTACACAAACAGGCTGGATAACTATACCATCAATTAGTAACTATAAACATGAAGAAACTGATAATCCAAGCCAAATTAGCTGTGCACTGTACATCCTACTATATCCTTTATTGTCACCATCACAATGCTTTCTTATAGTCCTGCTACTCTAAAGTGTCCTAGAATGGTACAGCCTTCTTTACTGTAGTCATTTGTTCAGTTCATTTCAGGGCAAATCCATTATTCTTGTCTAAGAGGTTTAAGATCTGCACTGTACAAACAGCTCAGTGAGCAATCAGAAGGTATTGCAGAAGGTGGTGCTAAATGGAGAGAAGAAATGGAGCAGGTTAGAGTGTCCTGCAGTGATTGAGACACTTAATGTGCAAACCAGTGAGCATCAAATGCACAGCTTGCCTCGTGCCAAACAGATGTGCCCAGAGTTCCCATGTCCCTGACTTTATGAGCTCTACAGGTGCCCATGCAAACACATCTGCTTCCAGGAATGACCAAAAGCATGTGACACTTCTGAGCAACTTGGTTTCTGCATGAGACCCAAAGGAGTCCAAAAAGCAGACGTTCTTCCTGTAATGACCTTAAGTATTTTTAGAGAATAAACCCAGAAAGGAATGCTGAAGGGTTTTAGTGCACAGCCTGATGGTTATTCCTCCTCTTTACGGAAGCACAGCAGTTAAAGCAGATGCCTAAGATCAGCTGAACTAAAATCCTCCCTCTGCCTGAAGACATTTACATCACTGATATCTTACCTCTCAATACCATGCCCTGAACACAGGACTACTTCACAGAAAAGTGGAGGAGAATCACCTTATGAATAAATAAAAATCACCTCCTTATGAAGGAATCACAATCACCTTATGAACAAATAAAAAATCAGGAACCATTCAGCCAAGAGAGAACACAGAGATGAATGTGAGTCTGCAGCCAAGTGATTGCTAAACAGGGACAGTGCAGGGTGCTGGCAAGTGCTCCTAGAATGGCACCCTTGGCTTTCTTTGAAAAACAGAATGTTGCTTCATAAGCAAAGGCCTATTAACCATTTTTAATTTGGATCTTGTTGGTTTCTGAATACTTACAGTGCAACTTTTAAAATATTTTAATAGAGCTATTTAGTTGAAATACTGCTTTTTTTTCCCAGAAAACACTGTAGCACATAATATGCAAAATATAATCAGTCTGTGAGTAACCCTATATGCTTTCCTATATTCCCTACTCTTTTTTCTTTTTATTATTTTTATTATTCTTATTCTACTTTTATTCTAATGTATTTTTATTATAATGTAATAATGTTGCTAATTGTAATTAGCAACAATTCTGTTTTCACGTAAGATGGAAGATAAAGATTTAAAATTGGGCCAAAAGTAGAAGTTAATTTGGATCAAAATTTATTCTGAATGAGGAAAAGGAATCACCCTTAGACAAGAGCAGCAAAATCTCCCCCAAGCCCAGAGCACAACTAGTGGCACACACAGAGATTTCTGTCAGTCAGATAATGCAGGTCATTATCTCGGGTAGGGAGCACCCTCTTGTGGAAGCTGCACACAAGGACAGGATAACTACTAGGATTAAACAGAATAATCCTTTTTCATTCAGGAGAAACCTCCCTGGACCTTTGTTATGCTTTTAGTCTTTAAAAAGTGCTAGAACAACCTTTCAAACCTCCAGGCAGTGCCATTAACCCAGAAAAGCCAATTGTCAATTCTGCCAAGGAAGTGAAATTGCAGCATGCCCAAACTTCAGACAAGCTCAAAGAGGCTGTAGAAGAAAATGATGGTCAGTGTCCTCACTGGGTGCACTGTCCATGCCAGCTGGGAACACTCCCCTATCAAACACTACACTTCAGCAGTGTAACTATTTTGCTTCTGGAGCTGTGCTGGTTTGTGCTGACCTAGTTTGTGTTGGCAGCTGCAGGTCTGTTAACTGAGAACCTGAAAATCCATCCAAGGATCCTCTGTAACCTCTGTCCTCACTTCTCTTCAACCACATCCCTTCTTTCCTACTTCTGGCACCACCAACCACTGCAAATGTAAGATCTTTCCCTATCATGACTTTCATTAGCAGCCAAAAAGCATTGGCTTAATTGTAGATGATGGCTTAAAAAAGTTTTTGATGCTCATTTCTACATAAACAAACACAAATATCCTTTCTTGCCAGAGCAACAAGCAGATCTAAAGAGAAGCCTTTCTGAAAGCCTCTTTCTCTGAATTCCACAAATCTTCTTGTATCAATACGGTACATTTTCCATAAATTCCAAAAATTTCCTTAACCTGGATGGCAGTGCTCCAATCAGAAATTCAGCTCCGTGCATCCACATTTCTCTGGGGTAAGGGAAAAATACAGGCTCTTTCACACAACAGAAGTACTGGGGAGCACTGTGAGGAGACTCACAAAGGCCATATGGGGGGTTAAGCTGAAGCTGCCATCGCTGGCACCAAGCTGGGATTGACCAGTTCATCCCACTTGGCCTCTCCAGTACCCTACCATGTGCTTTCAGTTTCAGGATAACATAGCTTAAACATGGCTGCAGAGGCCCAACAGAAGCCCCACATTACACAAGCACTGATAAGCCTACCTGCTACAGGGGGGAATTCAGAAATACAATGTTAAATCCAAATTTTACACAATGGGTGCATATTAGTGACAAGGAGGAACACCCAGTGAATGCAGGATGAGCAGAAGATGAGCAAAAATGAAATGGGGATATAGATGACAGGAACAAAACACCTACAGAGATAGATGTGAAAGGTCAAGAGGTGGCCCAGCAAGATCATGGTCACTAGGCTCAGAAGAATGAAAATCCCAGCTGTCACCAAAATGGCAGGTGCCCGAGTCTCAACAGGAGATGCAGGAAGAAACACAAACCAGCGGTCCAAGTGGTTCCTCAAAGCTGTAAAACAGAGTTGGGGATAAGTAGATTGCCCAGGTATGAATTATCTCTAAATAAACTTTACAGCTGGAAATTCTGTTAACTCAAAAGTAGCTGCAGACCCATTGTGCACTGGAGGTCTAAGAAATCCAGTGTCTGCAGGGCTTTTAGGAAGAGCAATTAGCTCTGTAAGGAAAGACATTCCATCCAGCTGAGCAGAGATACTCCAACAGAAATATAACATGGAAGCAGTAAGGAATGGAGCTCCTCCTCAGTGGAAGAGCTGACAGAATCCAAACCCTCATCAAGACATGCTGGCAGATCCCCAGGATGCTGATGTGGAGCACTGCAGTACCATCGAAGTGCTGGTCAGAGCGAAGCACCATGGGGTCCACGAAGAACTCCACAAAGACGTAGAAAGCGACGAGCAGCAGAAGCCCCAGGCCCAGAATGGCAGAGAGCACACTGTTCAAAAAGAGCCTGCCAGGAAAGGGAGAGCTCTCAGTGCCTTCAATAACATCACACACACAAATCAATATCCCAGCCTCTAATAAACAAAGATAGAGACAGCTATCTCAAATTACTGTCAGGCTTTCTTACACTTCTGATAGATACTGGTGAACAGCTTTACTTATTAATTGTTACTCTGAGGGACTAAACTGTGACCCTTTAGTGCAACCATGGTTACAAAAAAACAGTCAAGTATATCTAGGACAGACAAAGAGCTCCCTTGCACAAAATCTGAAGTGTAGTGTGTGTCAAAGGCAAATCCCTTCCCAATCTGCTTCACCAGCCATCAGTGTAACACAGCACCCAGGAACAACACCACTTTGCTTTCCGTGGGGTTTAAGTGCAGGAAAGTAAATTAAGAAGCATCAGTGACAGTCTCCTTATTCTTATCTCAGACCTGGCATGGATTAGAGGTCCCTATATGCTGCTGTGACTCCTGCCAACTGGCAAGTCTTGTAGGGAAAGCACATGATCTGGATGCAGGTTGTTTCAAATTGGAACAGCACCATCATGGTTCCATTCCTACTTCAGCTTTCAGAAGCACTAAGGACACTCAATTAACATCCTGTAAGCTCTTCCCAATACCAAATAACAATTCTACGTTCTCTGTTTTTACTTAGAGATGTTCAGTTACAACATTCTAAGTTTAGGAATTTTATCCCTGGTTATTTGAATGATTATGCTTGTATTTTCCATCTAGTTTTCTCATGACTGATTCTTCAGCCAGGGGATAAAAGAAAAGTGGTTCTGCAAGTCTAAGTACAGACTGGACTGAGATACAGGAGAACCCTGGAAAGAGAAGAAACCACATTATTGATGCAGAGTTGTGCTTCTGCCACAGTGCCAAGCTCTTACCAGTAATTCCTCTCTCCCACACAGTTGTTGAGCCATTTGCAGTGATGATCAAAGCCACACACACACTTGTTGCAAGTTCCACAGTGCTTTGACTTGGCACTCCTGCCAAGGAAAGGGTGGCATTAGCATGGCAGCACCAGCTCATTACTGTGACTTTTCAGTGACTGAAACCCAGGGGGATACAGCAGCAGAGATCCTGATAACAGTGAGTAAACCTTCTGCATCAGGAGTACTTCATCTCCCTAACTTATCTGTCACTGCTGCACCACAATCCCAAAATTCGCCTTTCAAGGCACTGCATTATTTTTAATTTGGAGACTGTTGAATTCTTATTTGAATCCCTTCAGCAATTCTACAGAGCTTGGTGTTAATGCCTGCCCTCCAAGCATTTCCTGCAACTGGCCAGCATCCAGCCAGAGACAAGCACACGCACACACACATACACTACTTACACACTGATAGGTGTAACACCAACACCCAGGGAACATGGCACACTACAGCCTTCTCCACACAACATGAGCAATGAAATAAAACACAGAACCCTGTGTGCACATTTGACAGAAGGCCCCTACCCAACTACCTGAACCCTGCCACAGCATGAAGCTTAACTTGCACTGTAGCAGCTCAGGGGCTCAATTTCAAATCTTATAGTCTGACATTAAGGACTAATGGTGAAGTGCAATGGTGAAGAAGACAGGGCAGGAGAAAGAAGAGCTACTTACACATCCACATCACAGACATGGCAGTGATGGTTCTCAATGACATGGGCGTGTTGGTTACGGTTGAAGGTGGCCAGAGGCCCCAGATAGTTTTTTTCTCGCACGTTTGCATCCGCAGGATCAATGGAAACTGCAGTAAGATGAACAACTAAATGGTAGATAAAACACACTCCTGGACACTGAAGTACACAGTTAAGGATTTAACATGTCTTTTAATCCTTAATACACAAACCCCACACAGATGAAAAATTTGCAGCATAGAATTAGAAATTGCTATATAACTGATTGCAGCACATTAATCTGAGCTTTATCAATAGAGATGTTTGCCTTGTAGTAAATATCCCTGGAAAAAGACAACTAAATCTACAGGAACATCCCTCCTCATTATATACTACTCTGCCTTGCAGAAGTGCCTTTCCTAGCACAGAATATCTTCCAAAGTTACCTGTACTCACCAGAATCTGAGCCCAAGTACAGGCTGCTGACACAGGTCCAAGTTTCTCAGTCCATACAACCTTCTTGGAAAGGAGTGCACATGCCCTTTCACTGCACCAGACTTTCAAGAAAAAAAGGTCACATCAAGGAAGTAGTATTGATTACCTTGCTTTCCTTTTCCTTAGAATCCCAGGGAAGAGGAGCACACCTTTAAAGCAGGCTCCTACAAAGGATCCAGGGTTTGTTCATTGTTTCTATACACCCAGATGTGCACATCATTGATCATACTAAGACCTACAGAAAATAGATCAGTTTAGTAAGTTAAAAAAGGAGGCCTCTGAGAGGTCCAGCTCACTGGAGCTCTGATGGCTGATGAAGCAGATTGGAAAGGGATTTGCCTTTGACACAAAAGAGACATTAGTGCTTTATTAACTGGAAGTAAAACTTGTGGAAATATTAATCTGTTGAATTAAGAGTAACTTTAGATTGCATTAAGATATTTGGTAGACAAATTCACAAGGTTTGAACTGTGATAATATCAAGGACTTGAGCAAGCTAAGTAGATGTTAATTATATTAATGTCTAAATCTTGCAGGTGTGAAAACTATAACAATAATAAGCAAAATCATCCCAAACATATCCAAGACTTAGAGGCATCTGTGTCAGATGTACAAATGGTGTAAGTGCACACCCCATCCCTTTAGAACAAGGTCTGGTCTTGAGGAATTTCCTTCCCTGGGCACAGGTGATAGCACAGTGGCACTGGGAGTACTGGGAGCACTGGGATCACTCCCCAGCTGCTGCAGGCTGAACAAGCCAAGGGTCCTCAGCTGCTTCTCCTTCCACTGTCTTTGTTAGCTGTGTACTAAACTGCTGCTCCAGACTGTCCCATAAGAGACCTCTCCCCTGAGGTTCACACCACACCACCTTGTGTGCCACTCCCAGATTTCCTCCTGAACACAGGAGAGTGCCCAGGGAGGAGATCCACTGTGAGCCACCACAAGCAACCCCTGATCCAACCATGAGCATGCCAAGCTGCCTTGCATGACTCACCCAGCCAGCACTGAGAGGTGGGGCTGCCATTTACAACAAGGACGTTTCAGGAGGGGCTTTTTTGTATGACTACCCTCAAACCCTGCAGCATAGTTGAAGAAGAATAATATAAAGCAAAGGAAATACACAGGCAGAAGCAAGCAGGCAGCAGAAGAGCATTGGAGGCAAAGGCAGTAACCTTAATGGAGAGTGATGAAGCAGAACATCAGTGACCTAAAGTGAGGATCTCAAAGCAACTGTTTTTTTATAATCAGGAGATATCCAAGATGATGGTGACAGTTCAGAGAAACATTCTGGCTCAGGTGCTTCTCTCCTATGCTGTCTGTGCTACCCAACAAGGGCTGTGCGCTACCAAACCCTCAGGGACAGTTTGTACCAGCCCTGCTCCCCTCTCCATCCAAGGATACGATGTAACCCGCGGGCAGCCAGTGGCGGGGCAGGAGGGGAACCAGGATCCCAAAGCCAACCAGAGCAAAGAACAGGAACAGCAGCCAGGCAAGGACCTGGAACAGGTGCAGGGGCCAGCTCCAGCCATTTCTTCGAGCGCGTTGGATCTTCACCTCAGGGACAGCTTCGCCCAAATCCTCTGGAGCTATCTTATTGTGGGGTTTATTGCAGATATTCATCTACAGAAATCAAAAATGGAAAACAAAAGGATGTGAAATAAAAGTGCTGTGACTGAGCCCTGGTGCTGGAGAGATGCTCCAAGGCAGACAAAATGATGGCACACGTGAAGAGAAACAGCTCTGAGCTCAGAAGCAATTTCTCCTTTTTTATGGTGGACTATTAGATGCTGCTTTTCACTTGCCATAGGGCCAGGAGAGTTTCTAACAACAGAGGGTTGGGCTGCTCTGCTTCACAGAAAACTTGAGCTAGCAGGGAGAGCAAACCAGGCAGCAGATCAAGGGCAGCATCACAAAGCCAGCAAGCACAAAGGAGCTCTGCTGGACCTGAGCTGACTCAAGGTACCTCTGCACCACTCCCACCCTTCCTTAGTAACTAAAGAGGATTGAAATTAACATCTAACACGACAAACAACTTCAATTAGTCTGATTAACGTGCACAGGAGAGAGATGAAAGAAAAGGAGGAGGTCTCTGGCTCACTTGTGGTATTTTTGATAATGGCTCCAGTGCCAGAACAATTCCACGGGGCTGGAAGAGAGCAAGCACAGCAACTGCTGAAAGAATGAGCAGGGGAATTCCAACTTTGGTATGCCAACAGCCCTTCAGTCCCTGGTGAAGGGCTGGAAATGTCTTTTGGGGTCACCTGGTAGAGGAGTGGGTAAGAATAGCAGAGAATGTAATTTACGGTCACCAGCACAATCTTATCAACACGTAGGCTGGAATAAAAATTTCCAAACTTCAACCTTTGAAGTAATTAGTAATATCTGCCTGCCTTCACCACTGAAGTTGCTACCTTGCAACTGGCTCATCTCTGATTGGTAATCTAAATCATTACCAATCATGTCATCCTTTTCTCATTAGGCTGCTGAAAACTTGCTCGTGCATCACTTTGAGCTACCTGTTACAAAACCCACAGTGGGTATGCCTGGCGTGCCCTTATACCCAGCTCCAGAAAACACTGAATATAAAAACCAGCATGGAATCACTATCAGGATAGTCAGAGAGAGAAGCACCGGGACGCAAGGGAGCCAGGGCTGGGTCAGCGTTTTCCCGGGCAGCCGCTTTGGTGAGAGCCGTGTAGACCCCCCCCCGCACCCCACCACCTCCCACCCCTCACCTTCTTCCCGCAGAAGCGGTGGAGAGCGGCCCCGGCCCCGCCTCATGCCCGGGCAGGGCGCGGGGCCCCCGGCCGAGGCCTCCACGGCAGCTCCCGGCGCCTCCGTGGGCCTCGGGCCGCTGCGCCCGTCGCCATGGCAACGGCTACGGCGGTGCGCAGGGGACAAAGCGCGCCGGGCGCGATCGTTCCTACGCGAGATTTCGTCCTGCATCAGCCTCGGGATGAGGTCGTGTCACACCCGGGGAATCTCTGTCTGCGACACTCCCCAGCCTTCCAAGCGGCGACATTCCATACAGATGGGGCTGGAGATGCCCAGTGAGCCAGAGGTGGAGGCTGGTTGGGAGCTAAAGCCGTCCCACTCCTGGAAAATTCCATTCCCTGTCATATCAACTAGTCTTTATGGCATGAAAATGTAGTATTTTTATTGATATATATATAAAATCAGATTTACACTGTGACATAATGAGGTTGCAGAATTCTACTGGGGAGTTTGGAATTTTACTGGAGGCCTTGCAGTGGTTTGTGCTTAAGTAAAAGAAAGTAAAGGATATGGAATTAAGGATTGCTTTATCAGTGAAGGATAAAGGATACCATAAAGGATACCCCTGGACAACCAGGATAACATAGCATTTGATGGATTTGAAACCCTCCTAGCATCGTCTGTCATCAGCAATTCCAGCAAGATGGATTCCAGGGATTCCTGGATCGTGGAATCATGGATTATCCTGAGTTAGAAGGGATTCACAAGGAACATCAAGTCCAACTCCTTACCCTGCACAGGCTACCCCAAAAATCACACCATGTGTCTGAGAGCATTGTCCAAATGCTTCCTGAAGTCTGGCAGGTTTGGTGCTGCAAACATTTCATTTCAGTGCATCCCCAGACAAGCAGCAAGAACACTGGGAAAACAGAATCAGAGGAGCAGTAAGGCTGGAAAAGAACTCTAAAGATCATTGAGTCCACCCACTAACCCAGCACTGCCATGTTCACCATTAACCCTTGTCCCCAGGTACCACATCCACACCTCCTATGAGCACTTCCAGGGAAGATGATTTCACCACTGCCTGGGCAGCCTGCCTCAGCGCCTGGCCACCTTTTCTATGAAGAAATTTTCCCTAATATCCAAGTTAAACCCCTACTGGCACAACCTGAGGCCCCTTCCTCTTGTCCTGTCATTTGTTACCTGGGAGAAGAACCCGATCCCCCCTGGCTCACCCTCCTGTGAGGAAGTTGTTGAGTGATAAGGTCCCCTCTGAGCCTCCTTTTCCCCAGGCTGAGCCCTCCCAACTCCCTCATTAGCTCCTCACCAGACTTGTGTTTCCCCATCTCCACTGCCTTTCTCTGGGCTCGCCACAACACCTCCATGTCCTTCTTGTAGTGACCTTTGCAAACTTTTATTATCATTAGCAGTCAGTGATGTGGCTGTTAGTGCCTAGTCCAACTGTACCTGAAGGTTTCAAGGGTAGAAGAAAACCTGCGCAAAAAACCCAGGTTGTTTTGCCCATTTTGGCTGGGACACCTCATGTGCAGGGATAAATATTTACCCCGTAATTCCCTTCTTTTCATCCCAGCCCGCTGCCGCAGTGGGCACGGGCCAGCTGAGGGTTAGGGTGACGCAGAGCTCCTGGCCTGGCATGGCATGGCATGGCATGGCATGGCATGGCATGGCATGGGATGGCACGGCACAGCCTTCTTGTCTGCTGGCCCTGGAGAGGCTTTTCACCCTGCCCCGGCCCAACCCAGCCCGGCCCAGCCCAACCCGGCCTGGCCCGGCCTGGCCCAACCCAACCCGGCCCAGCCCGCTCCTCTGCTGGCCCTGGGAAGGTTTTTCTGCCCGGCCCTGGTGGATCACAGCCCTGCCCCGGTGGCGGTGCCGGCGGCAGGCACAAGGAGCCCTTTATGGCCGCTCGTGTCCGTGCACAGCGGGTGCTTTGTGTGAGGGCTCCGGCCGTACCCCGGCTCAGAAGGGTTCTGTGTGCGGCCGGGGGTGGCGTGTCCTCAGCTCGCTGTCCCCAAAGGCCCTCGTCACCTTTTGAACCCCTGGATGCTCTCCTTGTGCAGGGTCTGGCTATGCTGGCGGTGACAGGGGTGCCCAAGGGGTGTGGGGTGTGCACCCCACTTGTTGTCACAGCCCACCCTCCTCCAGATGGGTGCAGGGGGACAGCTCCAGTGCTTGGGGAGCTGCAGGTTTGACCAGCCTGCGTCAGAGCTGCTGCAGAGGGAATCCTCCTGCACACAAGGAAGTGCAGCTCCTGTCGCTATCCCCTGCTCACCAGGGCCAGGGAGCCCTGCTGTGCTTTCCAGGCACTGCCAAGGCGGCTGAGAACAGTCTTGGCTGTGCAGGATGTTCAGGGCAGCGTGTTGGAAGTTGTGCCTGCCCATGGCAGTGGAGTTGGCCAAGATGATCCCTTCCAAACCAAAGCATTCTGTGATTCTCTGCTCAGCCCATCTGCCATTTTTATGCTGAGGGACCTTTCAGCGTGGCCCCAGGAACAGCAGTGCTGGGAGGGGCATGGACCCTGTATGGGCTTGGTAGCTCTACTGGTAGCTCACCCCAAGCTCTGTGAGGTGACCCTGCCATTACACAGCCACCAGCTGTCCCCAGGAGCCTTGCATCAGGAGGACAAAACATAGAGCAAGGAGCACACCCTTCCTACAGCCACATTTCTTTTATTAGAGATTACAAGATATAAGAAGCTGAATCTGTGTGCCAAGTGCTGTTGGCTCACTCTGTCTTTCCCCTGTGTGCCATGTGGGCAGAGAGGAAGGGGGGCTGGCAGAGGCAGGTGCCCCCAGGCCAGTCCTTCCATTGGCAGTTGGGTTTTTCCTATAGGGACACAGTTTTTGCTGTGATGGCTATGAGAAAGCATTACGGCAGAGGGATATCTCCAATGGGACAAAAACTGGAACCACTGAGCTGAACCTGCTCTATTCCTCCTCAGGAGAGGCCCACACCTGCCTCCAAAGGCAATCAAAACACATATGGGGACACAAAGGCCGTGACCTTGAAGATGTGCTTGCCCAGGAGGACCTTGTGGGAGAACTCGCTCATCTCCACCTCCACCTCCAGTGTGGCCGGCCCCGCCACGGGGCTGGTGAGCAGCAGCTCTCCCGTGTGCCGGTCCAAGCGCCGCACGGCGAACACGCCGCGGCCGTGGCCGCCCGCGATGGTGAAGCGCAGGCTGTCCCCCAGCGAGCGCGCGGTGGACATCCTGAACAGGACACGGGGCACCGTGCGGTTGGCCTGCAGCGGCAGGTAGTGGAAGGAGATGGAGCTGGCAGCCAGCTGGCAGGCTCGGCTGTCCATGGGGCAGGGGTTCCGCTCGCACTGGCTGCCAGGAGAGAAGGGTGCCACCGCTCAGTGCCGTGGTTTGGCTCTCGGCATAGCCACATTTCTCCTCACAGAGAAAAGCAAGGCAATCTTCCCAAGAAAATTCTGGGATTCACATTCTCTGAACCTCAGAGAATGATCAAAACAATTCTTATCTCATTTGGTGTGCCTGTGTTTGTGCAAAAGTAGAATGCAGTATGGAGACTGTTTACCCAAAGTGACGGTGTTTTGTTTCCTTGGCCTATCAGGGCCAAGTATGTGTGTGTCGGGACTGTTTTCTGACAGCCACGAGATTCAGTGCAGTGGAGTGTTTAGCAGATTGAGTTTAGATGTAAAGTAATGTAATATAATATAGAATAATATAGTATAATAAAGTAATTAATTAGCTTTCTGATAAGATGGAGTCAGATGCATCATTCTCTCCCCTCGTCAGGGGAAAAAATATCCACTATACTCAGGGTGCTGCCCTCATCCTTGCACACAAGCCCAGTCCATGCCACAGGCAGCACTTCCAGCCCTGATGTTGGTCCTGTGGCAGAGCAACCCAAGACAGCCACATCCAGGTGTGCCCATCATCAGATCTCTGCCTCATCCCTGTTTCTGCCAGGCAAATGCTGTGGCTTGCAGGGACACAGCTCTGGGTGACACTCTGAGAAACTGGGGGGGTATCACAGTCCCAGCTGAAGGCCAAGGATGGAGCCAGATGTGCCTCCTGAAGAGGAATCTGTCAGGATCAGGGATGCTCCTCTATTTGGTGGCACAAAGCAATTTAAGCTGAAGAGTAGGATGTCTGGGAATGCTGAAAGGCAGCTGATGGCACCACATGGATGTGCAGCAGAGGAAAATCAGCATCATTCCCCCCAGGCTGGGACTCTGAGAGGGGTCCTGGATGAAGTATTGGGGTGCTCCCATCTGTACCCCTAGCATTCCAAGATCATAGAGGAATATGCCAAGCACACCTGAGCACCCCATGTGGCAATGTGCCACCAGTGCTGGCTGCTACTCTCCCTGCTGCCCCTGGGTGACACAATACAGCCCCCAGCCCACAACAGGACCCATCACCCCGGGACAGGGCACGACACAGCCCGAGACACGCACAGCAAGGTACTCACAAGGCAGAGGTCTTGACATAGCTGGTGTTGTGGCGCGGCGGGGGGCACTTGGGGCGCACACAGCGGTGGCCCCCGAAGGTGTTGATGCAGAGGTCGCCCTGGCTGCAGTTGTGCTGCTTCCCAGTGCACTCATTCACGTCTGTGGTGGTGACACGGGGTGAGTGGGGCTGTCCCCACTGCATCTCTCTTCCCGTGGGAGGCTCCCTGCCCTGCACCCTGGGTTCTTACCCTCACAGGCATTGCGGTCAGCGTGGAGCAGATACCCAGGGGGGCAGAGGCAGCGGTAGGAGCCAGGGAGGTTGAGGCAGTCATGGAGGCAAATCTGCGTCTGGGGGCTGGACTGGTAGAGCTGGCATTCATCCACATCTAGGGTGCACAAAGTGGGGAATGCCCAGAGGTCCCATTGCCACCAAGCCTTGGTTCCCCACCCTCTATTATCTCATCATCATCACCTCCCTTTTACCTTGGCACACGCCACCAGGCTGCAGCTGGAAGCCGGTGTCACAGCTGCAGCGCCGGGAGCCCGAGCGGCCCTCGGCACAGCGGGGCTGGCGGCTGAAGGAGGTGTTGCTCAGGGTCACCCAGTCTGCAGGGGACAGTGGGTGTCATGCTGGGGCATGGGGAGATGGTGGGGCCAAGGTACCGGGGGGCTGCCA